CGGCCGGGGTTGTCCCGGCGGCTACCGCCGCCATGCTGCCGCCGTCCTGGGCCGTGCTGGGCGGCCGGGCTGTCCCGGCGGCTGTCAGCGCTATGCTGTCGCCGTGTTGGGCCGTGCTGGGCGGCCGGCCGGCTTGGAGGCCGGCCCTCCTCCTCCTCAGCCCGGTGCCGCTGCCGGCGGGGGGCCGGCAGCTGCCTTTCTCCACAACTTGCGCGAGGTGCTCAAAGAACAGGCGGCTGAGGCAAAAAAGAGTCATTTCGGAAAGGAAGCTGGTAAGTCCTGAGGTAAATCAGCTGTTAGTGTGCAGTGCAGTTACCTTGCTGGGCGGTCACCTCCCAGGCACGCGTCAGAAAACAGAGCTTACCTCTTCCCTGCCGTTTCCTCCTCACAGTGATCAAATAGATGCTTTTGATGCGAGGAAGTATTTTTCTAAAATCTGGTAAGCTTTCTGGCTGGTGGGGAAATAAGCCTGCCACGTGACATTATCGGTGTTTATAGGAGTTGTGGTAGCGGTAAGTGTGCCTTTAAAGCATGTCTAGGTCGAGAAAGCAAAAAGGCTTACGTAGCTTTAAAGCTAAAATAGTGTCTTGTTTCTCACTGGTTTTATAGTCTTGTATAGCAGTCCGCTGACAAACAGACAGCGTTTTATGTCAGAGAAACTGCAGTGTCCTAGAACTGTTTCTTCATACTCTTTCTAATTACACGTCTGTGGAAAATCTTGTTTTCTAATGATCAATAAACTGCTTCCCATTTAAAGCAATAGTTTCCTGTCTCACCGTGTGGTGGTGCCAAATACTTTTCTGAAAGAGGCTTTTTAAGAAATCACTACAACTTTAATTATCAAAAATGAGGTTTTTTTTTTCAGTTGCTTATCTTGGTATCATAATACTAATAAGATTTTTTTCTCCCTCGCATACTATTTGGACTACTTAATTAAAAGTGACCCTGACTGCTCATTGTCATTATGAAGTCCCTTAGTAATTGACAGAATTTTAATGTTGCCACAGTCAAGGTCGTGCTTTCTCTTTTCATCCTGATATGTAAACAATTTCACCTGCCTATATGAATGTACTTCTCTAATATTTTCCCTTGGGGATTTCAGCTTACTTTCTGGAGATAGGTAAATGCCATCAAACCTGTTTTGCTGACAGAAAAGCTGAAACATAGTGCACCATAGTTAGTTTGCCAGAAGTCAAATATTAAGGTAATGTCAGAAATAGAGTCAAGACCTAGAATTCTCTTTATGCTATATTTTTTTTAGCTCCTGAGCAACTGGTTGTGACATATATTAAGATTTCCTCTGCTTATTATGTTTACAAATACTTTCTGTTCTTCATCTTTAATACTTTTCTTAATTGTTAGAAGATTGAAGTTTGCCTTAATTTCATCACCAGGGATAGAAAGCGTGAATCAGTACAAGAATATCCCTCCCACACATGCACTATGTCTTTTTTGCGAATTTCAGTTCGATTTAAAGAAGTAAAAAGTTCATGTATATAATTTTTTTTAATGTTTCTTTTCATGAGTATGAACACATTTACTGAGTGAGTTTTGGCTTTGTCAGCATTATATAACTGTATTATAAGGATACTTTTCCTGTTACTAGTTCCATTAACGTGAATTTTGCACTTTCGGTATCTGAGCTGCTGCCTTAGGTTACATCAACATAGCCTCAGGCATGTACTTTTAAGGGGATTCTTAAAAAATACTTGAAAAATTAGATTTATTTTTCTTTAACATTATACTTAGTACGCTGTATTTAGTTGATATGTGAATAGCAGCAGAGTTCTGATTTTTTAAATTTTTTTTTTAACCATTGAACTCATCACGACTAAAAATAGCAGGTCTGCATATTACTAAGTTTTGCAGAACAATCAACTTCTTGGAAGATGACTCTGATAAACTGTACTTAAAGGGTACAAAACGCATCCTTGTTACAGACACGCTATTTCGTGGATCACCGGAAGGTGCGTGTGGTTGGAGGACAAGGAGGAGGAGGGGGTCATTCTTTTTATAGCGAACCCAGAAAAATATTTGGAGGTCCTGATGGTGGAAATGGCGGTGATGGGGGTCATGTCATTTTGAAAGGTAAAACTCACTAAATCTGTTCTGTTTCATGTTGTCTTATTGCTTAACACCCCACCCCGCAGCAAAAAACCCCCTACATGTACGGTAGGAGATGGCAGATGTAAATGTCAAAAATGTTAAAATGGTTATTTCTGTATAAGATGCCTGCTTTTTAAGCTTTGTCCTGAGCTGTAGTAACAGGGACATAAATTACACTGACAGCCTTAGAAAGCATTTTGAAAATCAAGCTATTTTGCAGACATTGTAGTGGCTGGTGTCTGACTGTGTTATGATAAGGCTGGGTTCTGATCAAATTTTACTCTTTAGATGGATAAAGCTGCTTCTGCCACCCCCCTGCTGCAATATCTGCTCATCTAGCAAATGAATTTTCCAGAGTATTTTGTAATGGTTGATTTTGGAATGACCACTTAATAAAGTGCAGAGTTAATAAACTTAAGCAGATAAGTAAAGGTAGTTAAACTTCATCACAACTTACATTAATATTAGCCTTCCCTGATAGGTTGTTGTTGAGACAATAAGTAGGATATGCATTCATGCAATATTCAAAAAGGGAAAGAACAGTTAAGAGGTTGCTCTTCTTTGCCTCTTCTACTAAAACAGTGTGTTTAAAATATGTGTATTTTGCTTTACAGCTGACCAGCAAATGAAATCACTTGCTTCAGTCCTCCCCTTCTATCAGGGTTTTCATGGAGAGAGAGGAGGAAGAAAAAACTGTTACGGAGCTAATGGTGCATACGTATATGTTAAAGTAAGTAAATTAGGGTTGCATGCTAGTGTGTCAGCTTTGTATTAGCATTGCTGATTTTCAAGCTGGATGACCTTATTGTGAGAAAATCTCACGTGTGTTTTTTCAGGGAGCCTTGTGTGCTGTCTCTGTTGAGAGAGGGCTGGTTGGCACACAGGCAGATCAAGCTGCTTTATATTGTTTATAAAAATTAGACTTCTGTGGAAGGTACATCTGGCCAAAACAAATACAGTTCTGATTTGCTTTACTTTTAGGGGTCATATGCCTAGAGCAATCACAACACAGAACTTTTTAAATAAGAGCAGACTTTTTTCTTTCCTACTTTTTTTTTCTTCAACATTTCTGTTTTGGTGCACACCTACAATATGTTTCTTGGCTCACTACTATGCTTAGGCTTCTTTGCATAAAAGGAGAGAAAGAGGGTTATAGTACTGTTAACATTTTAATGAACTGTAAATGTCTGACAGTGCTGTTTGGGTCCAGAAAGTGAGCCTCGTTCTCTTTTTGGACACCCCAGCTGGAGAATATGGAGGAATAATTTTCAACAACTCTGAAATCAGCTGGTAAAGGATCTACTGAAGACAGTTCTGCTGCAGACTTTGAGCTTCAGTGTAATGCTTGCATCTCTCTTCACTTTGAGGTCCCTGTAGGTACATTGGTTAAGGAGGATGGGAAAGTTGTGGCTGACCTCACTCAACATGGTGAAGAGTATGTTGCAGCTTATGGAGGAGCCGGAGGGAAAGGTAATCGCTTTTTTCTTTCCAATGAAAACCGAGCTCCGACATTATTTACTCCAGGAGAGCCAGGTCAGGAAAGGGTCCTCCATTTGGAACTCAAGACAACAGCTCATGCAGGATTGGTGAGTGTCATTGTGGTTCTTCAACTTCCTTATCATTGTAGGACGACACTTGACTGACTGAAGAGATAATGTTTGATAACATTTTTGTTAGCCTTTTGGCTTGCTTGTTTAGAGATGCAACTCGATGCTTTCTTGCTGTTACTTGGTAGAAGGGTGCCCAAAGTGATTTGCAGAGCTGTCACTCTCTTGCTCCTTGATGTCATCCTACTTTTGCTGAAATCAACACTATATATAGAAAAGCAATGTGCAAGATTCATCAGTGATTAACAGACTCACTGATGATGTACAGCAGGCTGTCTGCCAATTCTGCAGATGAACAGTACGGCATGGAGAGTTCTTCTAAATTAGTTTCTGTTTTCTTGGTTTTTTAAAAAATAAAATTTATAAAGTTCAAATCATCTTCTATTTCATCCCTATATTTCGCTTTTTACAGTTATTAAACATTTGACTTTGTTAGTACCAGATTTAGCGTCCTCTGAAATGAAAAATACTATTTAAATATGAATGCTAAGTCAATTTAGGGCTTAAGCGGTTTTCATTTTTAAGTATGGAAATGTTTTAACACCAGCTGGTAAAGCTGTTAAAATTATGCTTTGCTGCAAAGTATTGTTGCTGTAGTTCAACAACTGCAGAATAACTGTCTAGTCTAGTAGAATTTTGTGAATTTATTTAGTGACTAAGAAAAGAGTTAGCATTGGTGGATCAATATGCTTAATTCTCTGCCCAGCTGGACACTGGTCCATTTCTCACATTTTTGGCACTAATTTGGAAATCTGAGATGAATCTGTTCTGTACTTTACTTACTCTGAGAGGAATTCAGAGTGTCTGACATCAGCAAATATGAGAATTTAGGATATGATCTACGTTCCTCTGGGGATTATTGACCATCTATGTAGCTATCATATGTTAACTGTAGCATATCCCAGAGTAACTTCATTTCTGGGATAGGTTTGCTTAAATTCCTGCCTTCTCCCCAGAAGGCCAAGTTTCAATTTAATTCTTGGATGTCGAGTCTATGAAGAGCTGTAAAATCCCAAACTTGTAGGCATTCTGGTTACTTAAAGGCCAAACTATATTACTGAATCAAGGACAATGCTGATTCTGAATTCTTTTGGACAATAATAAATCAGAGTTAGAAAATGCAGATAAAATGGGAAGTGCGGGACAAAGTGTTATAACATTGTTTCAGGGTAAAAGATCTTATGGTATATACCCTTTTGGCTCTGAACAAAGTAAATACTTAAGATGGTACAAAAGAGTTAAGGGGACCCTTCTATGTTTGATCTATTTAATGTTTATGAGAAAAAATAAATAAAACAGGGTTTAGGAGAAACAAAGAGAAACCAGGATGCTTTTCAGAAACAAGTATGCAAAATTAATGTTGTTATATTCATGCTGGAAGAACCTTGCCACATCTGCAAAAGCTTAACAGTTTTTTTAATCAGGATTAACCTAGAACTGTAGCTCTAATAAGTGCTTGTATTCCAGGTGGGCTTTCCCAATGCTGGCAAATCATCGCTTTTGAGAGCAATCTCCAGGGCAAAGCCAGCCGTGGCTGCCTACCCATTCACAACCCTAAATCCCCACGTTGGTATTGTCCACTATCAAGACTATGAACAAGTAGCAGGTAAGAGTTGTAGTGTGTTGTGTGTACCTTCATAGCACTTTGTCACCTGTGTTATTCTTTGAAAAGCTGCAGAACTAAGTTTAGTGGTTCTGTAGAATTCTTGCTAGTTCTAAAGAACTTCAAACAAAACAATACTGAAAGTCCATTTTACATTCATTTAGATATGCCCTTAATATCAAACTAGCAATCTGTATTCTGGCTCCACTGGAATAGTCTAAATTTAGGGGGTTTGAAAGATAATAGCAGCCAAACTTAACATGAGGTACGCTTTACTATTGATGCATTGAGATGTAATTTTAAAAGTACTTGCACTGGCCAGTAAAAGACTGGGTTTGGTGGGGGGTTTGTGTTTTGTTTTGGTTTGGTTTTTTGTTGTTGCATAAGTGGGATTCACTGTGGAATTTCTCTCATTGTAGTTGCTGACATTCCTGGCCTAATAAAAGGCGCTCATCAAAACAGGGGCCTCGGGATGGCCTTCCTAAGGCATATTGAACGCTGCCGCTTTCTCTTATATGTGGTGGATCTCTCTGTGTCTCAGCCATGGATTCAGCTGCAAGACTTAAAATATGAACTGGAACAATATAAAAAAGGATTGTCTGAGAGGCCTTGTGTTGTTATTGGGAATAAGATTGACCTTGCTCAGTCCAGGATCAATCTGCCACTCCTTAAAGAACAGATAGATGACCGGGTCATTGCACTGTCTGCATTGACAGGAGACAACCTAGAGGAACTGTTTTTGCATTTGAGAGAACTGTATGACACTTATGTGAAGACAGAACAATCACGAGGGCAAAGCCCGGTCAAGTGGTAGGAACTAGAACTACTGTGAACTGTACTGGAAAGAGGGAAAAAAAAAATCATAATATGATTAGGTTGCATCTGTGTGGTTTGGGGTTTTTTTACGAGTTGTTTATTTTTAAATGCAAGGGGCACAGCGTGGATTTGTTCTGGACTGCTGCATTGCAAAGATTTTTTTGTTTGTTCACCTTTGAGGTGTCTTTGGTGTTCTACAACAAAATTTGAAAATTGTAGTCATGATGGGTGTTCAACTGGAAACCTGGATCTTGTTTGACATTAGATAGTTAATTACGGTATGAAGAGAACGCTATCTAGTAGAAATGACTGAAATTCAGGATCTGCAGGAGATGCTGGCTTGCTTTCTGAATCGGAGTGAAGTAACTTCTCACTTTTCACTTACCAAAATTCTAAAATAAAAATAAAGTGGTCCCATGTTTATCTGTTTTTATACCATAACCACTTTCAGTCATCTCTTAAAATTTTCTCCTGTTTTGTTTGGTTTTTCTCAGAGGAGGCACAGCTGCTCAGTATTTTTAGGGAAGGGGAGCATGAAACAGCTGCAATTAATGATTGAAATTATTTCCTCATTAGTATAAATAATTAACTATAGTTCAGTGCTGGCTGGCAGCAGGTAAGTAGCTGTATAAACTGGCCAGGGAACAGTCATTTGAGACTCACTTCTGAGTTCTTCTCCAGTTTCCTTGAGGAATCTCAAGCAATGTTCTGAGAAATCCTAGGCTTAGATATTCCAAATAAAATAAGAATATAGTTCTTTTGCCTTTTCTTTTTACTATGTCATTTTGTGGATATTGTTCTTAAATTTTGTTCTCTAGGAATTCAGAAATCTTCCTTTAGAACAGTGGGTCTTTGCCCTCTCCTTATACTGAAAGAAATGCTGCTTCTATATGCTCTGGTTATATTCTGTCTAAAAGATGATTATCTTGATAGTGAAAAGTCAAAAATTTATCAAAGCATATTATTAAACTTTTTCATAAGGGACCCTAACAGATTTGTGGAATGCTGAGACACAAATAGTTAAGAAGTCAAGAGAAACAGTTGTTCTTGAGCCTTTACTTACGTTTCTTGATTTTTAAAGCAGATTAACTTTGCTTTCCAAACCAGCAGTCTGGAATTACAGACCTTGCACATACTTTGTCACATCAGTGAAATACAATGTAAACTCATTAGCACCATCATAAAATAGAAAGATGGGATGTTTGTAAACTTGGCTTTGTTTTTCAGGAAATACAGCAGCTAAGTTTTAGGGACAGTTAGGTGTGTTATAAAACATGCAGCTATCACTTGTCTTTGGTTAAGCTTTGTTAGCTTACAAATAAAGATTTCATTATGTTTAAACTAAAACTGGCTATTTTCTACTGTATCAGCAGTAGTGGGAATTGCTCAGCTGTAGCCTCTACTTCTATACACTATAGCAAAGGTGGTAATTTTCTCTGCTTCTATCGCTTTGCACATTTTGTTTGATTTCATCTCTTGTACTCTAATGCTTCTGAATGCTGCATCCTTAAAAGACTGGCTTTCTCAGATTCCATGAATGATGGACTTTTTTCTCTGTCTATGGCTGGAAAGGCGCAGTCTTCTTCAATCTCTAAATTAAAGCTCAACTCACACCCTCCTGCTGTATCAGTGTTGGGATCAGCTCTGTGATTATGAATCAGAACTAACTTTGCCTGTATAAGAAAGAAGGTGCATACCCCTTCTCATGAGCAGCAGGGTTTTTTTTCTGAAGAAGTGCAAGGTCAACTCAAATGCCTGAATTTATTTAATAAAAATATGGGCAAAACAGGTAATTACCTCTCCTAAATTCACATTCTGAGTATTTCTATCTGTGAGCAGGTGTGGAAAGTAATCTATGCATTATAAGCTATGATATTAGTATAAATATGAATAGGAAAAAATGAAAACATCCCAAAGTTGCTCTCATGTTTTGTTTCATATGTGCTTCATCCCTGGGATTTACCAAACTGAGGTAAAAGTTAATCTTCAGTTCTGTCCTTCTGTTTGGTTTTGTGCAGCATTTTTAGGCTTCGCTGTTGTTTTTCCTTCTATTGCTACATGTTTTTCAGCCACATTTAATAAAACTGGGAAAAGATTGCCTGAACAAAAAAAAGGTGCAACTTCTTTGCAGAACGTTTGATACCTACAAATACTTTGTGTTCTCAGTGTTGTAGCGTTTGGCAGTCTTTGAGAATGACAGAGGCTGTTTTAAAAGCCTCTGTACTCACAGGAGCTTTCACCCTTAGTTCCTGGTGCTCATGGAACATCAGCTCTTAGAGTGGAGAGTATTTGGTGTACTGATGTGCAAAAAGCACAGCGGGGTGCTAGATAGCTTAACAGAATGTCCTATTGATCATATAATTGGTTTCTTCCTTCTTACCATTTCAGCTGCCTATTCTGAGGTGACAGTACCAGGTTCCTAACCACACGCGTACGGGGTTCAAAGAGGCTTTAGAGGAAGGAGCACATACTCCATCTATCGATGAAAAGTGTCGAATAGCCCCAGCTTTAATGTTGGAACAACTGTTTGTATGAGCTTGAATTCGCTGTCCTCAGTATACATCTATACCAAATGAAGTAACCTCACGATAGAGGTTACTGTGCTAATGCCGAACAAGAGGAGTGGCTGTGTGCTGCTCAGCACAATACAGAGTTAATAGCTTGGGTCACATTTCTCTGGAGTGCTGCTTCAGTATCTAATTATTATCCACTTGCATCCCATTCTAATTATGAGGTACAGAACTGAGGAGTAACCTCTGGTGCTGCTGGAAATAGGGTATTTACAAAGGAAACTTGTTTTGTGTCTAGGAACAGAAGGAAAAATGATCAGGTTAAGAGAGAGAATGATGAATTGTTTCAGAGAAGAATGATGTGCTATAGGACTTCTTCCCACTTCTTTTTTTGGCCAAGGTTGAGGTGGGCAGGCTTGTTTTGGTTTAGGTTTTGGAGAGGTTTTGGTGGCTTTCTTCTGCATGACTTTCCTTAACTAGCTTTTGCTTTCCTCTGCTGAAACCTTTGATGTTGTCCTTGCTTTTCAAGTGGACAAGAGGGAAGAAATGGGGGATTTGCTTTGTCATCCTGACAATAAGCTCATTTTAATGTGAATTGAAGTCTAGTTTATTTTGTATTTCCTAGAGAAGCTTGAGCCATAATTTTGTTTAGCACTTTACACTTCTAGTACTCATCTTTTTAATACATTTTTTTTAGTACATGATTACAACAGTATTTTAGTGCTAATTGTGGTGGGTTTTTTATATTTATTTGCAATCCTCTCCCCCTTTGTAAGTTCTTGGAAAATGTAGGTGGTTTCAATTGAACAGAAAAAGAAAATGAAATGTTAATGTAAAAACAAGCATTAAAAAGGACCACACTTTTAAAACATGGATATTGAAGACTCATTGTGGTACATTAAATAAAACCTTGAAACAGTGTGTTTAAGCGTAGTATATTTTGCAACCTGCTTTACTTGTATGGTTTTGTAAAGCACTTTTTTTTGGTATTACATAATATTTTTTAAGGTGAATCGGAATGCGTTTGCAATGAATTGAACTAACAGCAGTAAAACTGAGACCCTCGCTGAACTTGTACTCAGTGGTTCTGCTCTGCTGCAGCACCATTCTGGGAGCAGAGCGAAGCCTTCCTCCACCCTGCTTCCAGTACTGGGGAGGTTGTGGAGATAGCACTGATCGGGGTCTCAGCACAGGGCAGGAGATGCAGGACATGATGCCAGATGCTACGTAAAGTTTGCCTGTATTCATGCTGATAATAAGTATGCTTAGAGCTGTGGTATTAAAGTAGTGGTAGGGCACCAGTTGCTCGAATGCAATGAAAAGTGAAGGCTGCCAGAAGTGTCAGATCTCACTTGGTTTCTTCTTCCATCGCAAGGGAAACTTCTTTCGCTATTGTATGTGTATTCATTAAGCCTCTTCGTACTGATTTTTAAGTAAATTTGTAGTAAGTGAATAGGTACTCGAGCATGTTTAAAACCTCGTAACCTGTTGTTTTTAAATACTGATTCAAACTACAGAATTACAGGAGTGGCTATGAACCAGAGGTGCTACTGCTAGTAGAACAGGACCTTTGCACGTGTTTGTACGAGCTACTGGATACAGAACACCAATCTAACTTCTTTGCTGTCTTGTCTTCCACAGGATATTGCTAACTGGGCTCGTTGGCTGACACCTGTGATGTAAGGTTAATGTTGGGACCAGAGGTTAGGTGTCTTGTAGGTGTGCAACTTAATGAGTTATTAATTGAATGGCAGGTGGAACATAAATAGGGAGCAGACAGGCTGCTGGAATGCTAACATGTTGTTTGAACTGTTAACTCTGCCATAGAAATTAAATGACAATGAATATATGCTTTGGCTTAATCTTTCTATGAATATCCTTGTTGTGTAAAAATGGATTTTTACTAATAGCAAGATTACCTTTACTTTGGGAGCTCTTATTTTGGGGGACACTGTAGCCCATAATCTGGAGATTGTTGTCTTGCATACAAGTTATGAGACATGAGGCTTTTTGGGAGAGGTAGTACATTGTACAGTGTGTGTAGGAAGAACAGGTAACTTTGGAGCTCAGCATCTCTTCAACAGGTCTACAGCCCTGTCATTCCTGTGAAAGTTCTATTTTGGTTTTGGACCGCTTCCATTAATAATGAAGTTCATCACCATTGTGAAAATGGCTTTCATATGAATTAAAATGTCATCCTGATATTGCTAAACTTCATCTGAATATTGGTGTGTGCCTGGCCTTTAAAGAACAGCTTTGTTTTCTTCTGTCTGTCTTCCATACTGCAGTTTCCAGTGCTGTTCCCCATTAATAAGTTTCCCCATCTTGTTAAATAGGGATTAATTGTGTCTGCACCGCAGAGGTCTGGAAATACTGAAGTTAAGGATACTTGGAGGGGAGGTTATATATGTGTGCCAATAATGGTAAGGGATGATTTTGCAACTCCTGATAATAGAACAAAGCTACCTGCAGGCTGCACTCTTGATTTTTCTCTATGCAGTTCTGAAATTTATTATGTGGTATGTGCCCATTTTTCTGAGACATAAAACATAGCTGGTAGAACAAAGGCAGAGAGATTTTTATCAACCTTGTTTTAATATTGAGATTGTGTTTGTCTTTCATTTTCCCACTGAGAGTAATTTTTCATCTCTTCTTTCCTGATTGAAATAGAATTGTCCGAGGAGGCCTTAAGAGCGTCTGATTTCTTATCCACAGTTTTGGGGTATTTTTTTCTCTGCCCTTGTTTATATGAAATATCGCTTTGATGCCTCAAAATGTGCATTCCTTGGTTAAGCTCTATTCTTTGCTTATTGCTATA